CTACCACTACCACTACCACTACTATCTACTACTATTACTACGGCTACTCCTACGATTACGGCTAGGCGACGACGACGACTACTGTGACTGTACTGCTTGTGCTCATCGTTAACACGTTCTTGCAGCCCTTAGTTGCTTTTTAATACTCCTACTCCAGTGGGTTGATGTTAAGCATTATAGATCCCCACTAGGCTTTCTTCATCGCTGAAATTTCTTTTGCCCTTGCGACCGTTGGAAGTTCCTTTAACCGGACCTGAAGTTGCGACCACTGTGATTCCTTGATGCTGTCGGAGAATGCATTGTGTCTGCAAACAGCGGACGTGCACGCTGACGTTGGGACTGGCAACGTGGAGTCTTGTTCAGGCCCAGATTGTGTGGGTAGAAAGCTCGTGATTCGATTGGAGATTTAGTGCTTGGTACGGCCAAGGTCGCGCTCTGGGGCGTTTCCTCCAGAGACCTTGGTTCGTCACTGCCTGAGGCTGCTCAGGAAATGGCTCCCGGGACTTCAGGATGTGAGGCTGAAAGCGGCTTTAAGCATCTTCGAATACAGTTCCAGGACCCGTTGCATCGCAGAGGGTAGTCACTCATCATGCGGATCTAAAGCTCTAGTCCAAGTCCTTGCGGCTGGTAGTATGTTTCATGGTTGCCGACATGTCGAGAAGGTTTGGCACCGCAACTCTTGGTCATCAGAAGCTTGATTGCCTAAAGCAGCGACGCAGCCGAAACGAAAAAGCGTCCTTGGCATTGAGGTGCTGTGTTGCAGCCCCTAAGTGCAAGGTTCCGAGGACGAGGCCGAGTTCTCGGAGCTGGGCAATGGCATGCGCCTGACACTGGCGCGCGGGGCTCAGGAGTGTGAAGGCGGGGTGTTGACGCAGGTGGAGAGTTCCAAATGGTGGTGTCGTGATTCTCCTGTCCTGCCTGCCTTGCTCATCATGCCAACTCCGTGTACCCAACAGTTCTATTAAAAGCACTCAATGCAACCGGGTTGCAATTGACCTCTGAGGTCCTTGAAGTGATTTGTGGCAAGCTGCACGACGCTGCGCGCCAGAGGGGTAACGCCATCTGCTCGTGTGAAAGGATGCGGAGAACAAACAGCGGCACCGTTCTTGCCCGAACCGCCGGCTGAAGAGCATCTGCCGGAGTTCAGAGCTGGCTTGCCTTCGTCATTCCACTTACAGTCTTACAGTGAAGCGCTTCGACTGGTTGCGGACTTGAGAACCCAAATGCTAGGGGCTGAGCACCCACACCGGGCATGACCCGCTTGTAACATATACATCTGGTCATGCCTCGGTCTGAGTCAGCTCAGCCGCAGACAACCTAGAGCTAAAAGTTGCTTCGCAAGCCTTGAACTTTGGGCAGCTTCGGGTTCAATGTTTGCCTTGCGGTCATCAGGTTACCTTAGCACACTTGGAGTCTTGGTCCCGAGTCAAAAGCACTGCAGATGCAACTCCCTCCAAACTCCACATCCCCACGGCCCCGAATCCCCAAGCACCCAGCTTCTTGGGGCTTCCTTCTGTTGGCTTTGCTCGGCTTAGCGATGGATGGCTACCAGGCCCGCGGGCACAGACTGGGCTGCCCGGGGCTTCGGAAGGCTTCAGGCAGCTTTGTCGGTTTGTTTGCAGGCTTAGATTTTCGCGTTGTCTCAGTGATGGACAACCGGTTCTCGGTCCAAGTTGGGCATGCTAGGTGGCAGTGGCCATTGGCGATCCTTTATTGCATGGCCGAAGTGCAGATCAGACTTGCCGGGGCCAAACGCCAACGCACCCTCACGAATGCCTCTTGCTTCAAGATCCTTCAAAATCAACTGCCCCGCCGCCACCGTCAACTCCGGGATCCGTGTGGAATCCTGGGGCCATTAACGTTACTGTGCAGGTCATCGACTGGGGGTTTCCCAGAGCGAGGACACGGGGCCGTTCTCATGCATTTCCATCTGTCGGGGGGGGGCAGAACTAGTCAGAACAAGTCAGAATCTATCTTGAATGCATTACAGACTCAACACACTCGCAAATCCTGCAGACTTCGCAAAGCGAGAGGTCCTGTGAAAAGCTGCTCTTGGGAACTTTGATTGGCAGGAGGCGCGGCCCTGCCACAGGCGCCAGCTGAGCTTGACGGTTTGGGCTTTTGGGGAGCTTTCGGAGCTTGGGAGCTACTCTGACAGAGTCCTTGGCATGGAAGATCTCCTTCTTTACTGGATCCGGAGCTCTGGGTTCTGGAAGACTTGTGGTTCACGATCTCCGAACAGTGCAGAAAATTCTTCGAAGAGTTGCGCCTTGCACTGGACCTCCACGCTTCTCTCGAAGGGCCTGCGAAGCACCGCTCGCCTTCTTCACGAGCCCTCTGCCTCGACTCCAGAGGAGGAGCCTGCAAGCCCAGCCATGTCATGAAAAGATCCTGTGCCACACCCCAAGCCTGTCAAGTGTCTCAAGGTGAGTTCTTGTCAGGCATCGGGTCCTCTGCTGTGTCGTTCTACTTGCAGCATCTTTGCGGGTTCTGAAGCTTCTGGAACCGTTGCCTAGAAGGTTGCGATTGGTCTCTGGGGCAGCATGGGGAGAAGCATTGCTGTTTCATGTTGGTCACAGACTCTTCCTACTCTGAGCGGAACAAGGTTTCAAGTCATTGCTGGGTTTTCAGGAGCACCTCCTCCTGAGAGAGAGGTCTTCATCCTTTTTTTGCGGCTGCTCGTGTGACACGGAATCTGGTTCGTCTTGGGGAGAGCTCACGATGCTCCGTAAGAATCTTCATGGGATGAGGAGGGCACCCCCACTTTGCCTGCCAGGAGAGCCCGAAGCAGAGACACTGCTTCGGCCGGGCCGCTGGCCATCAGGGCTGTGGCGAGTAAACGCTGTCGTGTGATTTCAGACCTAGGGAAAGACTGTCATGCTTCCGCGTAAAAACTTGAAGCCGCTTACAGAGAACCTTCCTTCTCATCAGCCGCTATAGTGAGCAGGCAGCTAGGTCCTCCACCTCTCATGAGCCTTCACAGGCCTCTGCCGTCGCTTTCGCCGCTTTCGGCGGCGGCTGTGGCGGGGCTTCCGGAACGAGGCCAGCTAACATCCAGCTAACATCAGCTAACGACCCCGATGTCTGTGGATCCTGAAAACCTGCCCAGGTGAAGGGATGCTGTGGGAAGACAGTGACGGGGAAGGCCTTCTACTTCGTGGCCTGGCTAGAGCAGCATGCCGCTGGCGGCGTCGAGTCGTAGATTTTGTGTGGTTGAAGGCTTTCGCAGAGGTGTCTTTTTTGTGGCGGAGGCCAGACACCTGAGGCCCAGCTCCTGTGTAGATGCTTCCCTGCAAGAGTCCCAAGCATACTTAAAGTCATTGGCAGCTCTGGGAATTTGGCTCCAGGTTGTGAGGGCCTTGAGTGGGAGTTGTGAGATGACTGTGTCACGTAGTCGGTCGCGGACGCCACGCGTGAGGGGGCCTCGGAAAGCCCAGCTGGAAGCGTATGCATGGCACTTCGACATGATCCACGATGAAGCACGCCTGTCTGCATTTCACGGTGCTTTTTCTCGGCTACCAGACAAAGCCCTCCAAGGCGTCGCGCTGGATATCGGTTGTGGAACTGGGGTTCTGGGCATGTGCCTCCTGCGACAGAGGCCTGAGTTGTCACGAGTAATCGCTTTTGAGGCAGACCCTGCGCTTGCACGGGTTGCAGAAGCGAATGCAGCGAACAACCGCTTGGAAGGTAAGCTTTCTGTACAGGCTCTTCGGTCAACTGCTGTTTCATCTTTGGCAGATGTGGTGGACACCGGGGAAGCTACCTCTCCACCACGGGCAAGCCTGCTCGTGGCCGAGATCTTGGACGCAGGTCTGCTGGGTGAGGACTGTTTGCCGACTCTTCGCCACGCAGCGGGCTCTCTACTATGCTCGAACTACTTCGCAGTGCCCGCAGCTGCTGAAATTTGCGCGTGTGGGGTGGAGAGTAGCACTTTGAGGTCCTGGCAATGTGTGCGTGGCAGTTGGTGGGCGCCCGAGGTTTTTGCTCGCGATGCCGGAGATGCAAATCCGCATGATGTTGTATTGGGGAGGCTTGTGGATGCAGGAGAGGCCAGGATCTTGACCGAAGAGTTCAGCGCATTGTGCTTTAACTTTGAATCGCTCCCGCCTGAGTCGGGCAGGTGCGAGGTAATCACGGCAACGGCAAGCCATGCTGGTTGGCTGGACGCCGTGGTGTTCTGGTGGTACTGCCACATGGTCCGCGCTGACTCCCTACCCACCATGACCAATGCACCCACCGGCGTGGCAATGAAAACTCGGGCCGATTCAATGCCTGCTCGCCCTGAGATCGGCCACTGGCGCCAGGCTGTCTCCGTGCTTCCCGGGCCACGCCGCTTCCTCCAGGAAGGGGAGGAGCTACGGCTATCGGTCTTCCACACCGACGAGGATGTCTGGTTCCGCATCGCCGAGCATGTGGCGAAGCCCATGTCCCTGCCACGGGCCTACAGCAACCTGTCGTTCTTTCCTTCGTCGCGGCTTTGGGCACTGGCAGATCGCGAGCGATGGCACAAGCTCAAGCGCGAAGCCTTCAAGGCAGCGCGTGGTCTGCAGCCGCAACCCTTGCAAGAGCATGCAGGAATTCTCGTGCTTGACCTCTCGGACGGTCCCTTCATGAGCTTGCTGCTTTCTGGGCAGCTCTCGATCCGTTTCGCTCGTTTGGGAGCTTCTTGATTTGCATTCAGCGCAGTTGTCCCTGTGAGAGACGCCAAATATCGAGATGTTGAACACAAGGAACTTGCTCTGTTTGCGAAGCTCTTTATCTCAAGACAACCAAAGCAATGTGAGGGCACGAGAGAGAGAGGGAGAGAGAGAGAGAGAGAGAGCTGTCTTCGGCAGCTCCGTCTTCAGCGCTCTCTCTATCTCTCTACCTCTGTCGTGGTACAGAGAGAGAATACATGCCATTACTACGACAGTTGTCCCAAAGAAGCCCTTCTGAGAACCGGGGACTCCCACGCCAGAGCGTTTCAGTTCATTTACGTTGGTACGAGACACGCAGCTCGGTACGTGGGGGGTTGCCGGTCTGCACTGTTTTCACACCCTGTCCGTGAGCCCCACAAACACCTGACCAGCTCCCTTGACCCTGTGGAAGAAGAGAGAGGGAGAGAGAGAGAGAGAGAGACAGAGGGAGAGAGAGAGAGAGAGAGAGACAGACCGAGCATCGATATCTTTTACCGACACCCCCACAAAGCCCCCAAACAGGGGCGCGCCATCCGGCGCGGGGAGCCTGACCTGCTCCCTGTACCCCGGAGAAGAAGAAGAAGAAGAAGAATAAGAAGAAGAAGAAGAAGAAGAAGAGAGAGAGAGAGAGCGCTGAAGACGGATCTGCCGAAGACGATGTCAGGGTCTTCGGCCCAGATCTCAGCGCCTCCGCCGGCTGCTGCGGATCGCTGGTCGCAAGCCGACCATCCTGAGCTTCGAGTCCTCTGAGGCGGGGCATGCGGGGCCGAGAGTTTCTTGGCCCGTAGGTGAAAAGCTTCGTAGGCCCGGACACTCGGACTGCGGGCCTCGGCCTCGTGAACCTGCATTGAAGCACGAACAACCGTTGCTCTGCTAGACGGGCCTGGGCGCCGCCTTGGATGTGCTCAAGTCGGGCCGGGGACGTTTGTGGAAGCCCCGGCGCCTGGCCTGCAAACTTGGATCCGAGGATTCGGGTCCAAGCTTGACTTAAGCACAGCCTGCTTTCTTGGAGAGCTCAGTTGAGAAGGAGTGGTCATTGTTGTTTGGTTGATTGGCGTCGGCTTCAGGTTTATGTGTGAAGGACCGCGTCCGCCCCGAAGCCGCAGCTTTGCACAGAAGCAAAAAGCCGAAACCCTGCATTTCGAGCCGAGTTAGGGCTGGAAGGTTTGCGAAAGTGCTTTGCAGATCCCCAGCGGCTTCCAGGTTCTGCCAAATCCAGCCGCTGATTTGCAGCCCCAGCCTCGCGCCGGAAAGCGTGCACATGAGACGGGCATCTGACTTTGGCAAGCTTTGTCTGCAGACACTTCTGGTTCGTGTTGCGGATGTAGGATGAAGCTGCAACTAGGGTTGCTGTTTGAGGGCGGTTGGCGTGTCTCTGGTGTAGAGTACAGCCTGGCTTTGTGAGGGTGTCTCCACGCTATCTTGTTGCTTGTGTTTTGCTCTTACTGGCCTCCTTTGAACGCCACAGTACACACAACAACAGCGCCTAGGATCTGTGGGGAGCCCTATGCCACCGAGTGTGAGGGAATGGCCTGTGACGCCCATTTCTGGCAGCACTGGGCGCAGGCTGACCGCGTGTATTTTCTCCTGAGTAGATCCCTAGCTCAACGCCTGTTTCGCCCGACGCCTCTCCCTCGGGTCCCAGGTGGACGCTTTACGCTGGACCCTGGCACCCGGTGCCGTGCTGATGCCCAGAGGCTTCTTGAGCTGCAGAGAGGAGGTTTCCAGAAATAGACAAGTTGAACTCCGTCGCCCGCAGAGTGCCCCGGAAGCCCTGCCCGGCGCTTCGTGAAAGCTCTCGAGGTTTCAGGGTGCGGGCGGCTTTGTTGTCCTGTGCTGGGCTCTGGCAGCGCCGACAGCCCGTCACAGCGGAGGTGTGGGGCCTCGGGGCCTGTGGGGTGTGGGAAGGGGCCGCGCAGGGATGGTTTGCGCTTGGAGAGCTTAGCCTTCCGCCACGCTACGGCTTCTTTTGTTTCTAGTATGTTCTCGTGATTCTAGTGGAAGTCCGCCTGTGCCAGAGAGGAAACTTCTTTTGTGAAGAGGTCTGTGGCGTGGATGTTTCTCGGATCAACAAGCTGCATCCATCCTGGACGAGAGCCTCCCAAAACGCCGAGAACGCCTACCACCGTTTCGCGTGCAGCCTGTGGCAAGTCGAGCACCGGGTCGTGAGCGAGGCCCTCACCCTCTGTGAAGTTGACTTCGCTGCGAACTTTCCGAAGATGCTGCGGTGCCAGAAGGTCACACTCCATGCTTTCAGGGGTGCATCCGCGGTGCATGGTGTTGTGACTTGGACGGAGTGTGATCTTCGAGGAAACCACAACTGGAGCCAGTGGCTTCCAACTGCGCGCCTCAGTGATTCTGCGTTTCCGCAGTTACCAGCCTTGCTCTGAGCATCCTTTTCTTGGGTCTCTGCAGGTTTTTGTCAGCCCAATCACAAAGAAATCTTTGCTTTGCATTCGTAAGCTCCAAGGATTCAGCCCACCCCTTTTCTGCAGGGTGTGGTCTTGGCGCGGCAGCCACAGGCGCCGCAAAAGACAGGGCTCAAGGCTGGGTTGCTAGAAGAATCGGGGTGAGGGCCTACAGGTGCTTTGGGGATGGGCGCCTGGGAATTTCAAAAGGTCTAAGCTTGGGATTGCGGTCCAGGTGGCAGTTGCCGCTTGTTTTCGAGCCGCCGATGGTGCCCTGAACCTGCAGCCGTCCTTGGCCGATGGGGAGGAGTTCTAACGATCCTTGCGGAAAACGCTCGCCAAACTCTGAATTCGTTGAACTGCCAGGTTCGGGTTTTTGAACCTCGAGTCACAGGATTTGTATGTCAGAGTTCAGGCTTCGACTTCTGAAGCATGCTTATGACTACTGATTCTGGGGTTCAACCCCGATTCCTTAACACCAGGTTGCAGCTTCAATCTGCCGGAAAGAGTTCCTTCCGTAAATAGGCTCATAACTACAATTTTGAGGAGCTTAGTGGTTCTGAATATGGAGAGTCCCACTGGTGCCCCTCAAAGCCCCCTGCGCAAAATCCAGTCATGATTGCATGACCCTGCCGTTGGAACCTAGCCGTGTAGAAATGGCTCGAGGTGAAGGCAATTTGTTTATGGGCGGGTCTCCATTTGCAATGCCATCCAGGGACCATCCAAGGGGTCAATGGTGTGGGCGATTTCACGAGACCTGTAGTCTATACTGGTGCACCAGAGCCTTGCCAACTGTAGCATTTTCCGTGCCTACGCACAAGACGAGTCTGTTCTTTCACATCGCAGACCATATCAAACCATCTACTCCAGACTCAGGTGTTTACCCGGCACCCCGACCAAGTGCGCGAAAGCCTGTGGAATTCCATTCGTGGCATCCTCGATGCTTGGTTCGCCAAAGATGGAGGCAACCTGAGCGGGCTTGGGGGTCTGGAAGCAGTTCCTGAAAGCCCAAGCCCTCAACAGCGCACCAACCTTGAACCGCAAGTAGCGATTCCCCTGCGTCAACGCCGGATTTGGAAGGTCGCACTGCTACTTGGGGTCCAGGGTGTTGGGCATCGTACATTTTCTTCAGTTTCCCATCACTTGATCCCGAACTCCCGCCAGGGGGGGCATATGCCAAGCGCAGCAAGAAGCAGCGCCGCAAAGGGGCGCCTGGGCAGATGCTCTATCGTGATGAAAGGCAAACCCAAACCCTTGCAGTTGAAAAGATTGGGTTTTGGAAGTGAGGAAGCCCGGCAGCCCATCTTTGAGAGAAGCTTCAGACTTCATGACGCAACAAAGGTGCAGCTGGCAGGAAAGAAGTCGGGTGCCGAGGGCCCGGGCTTTGGAATCCACTGTGCCGCGGCTGCCAGGAATGAGACGAGGAGTCTTCGGGATTGATGGGCCAAGGATTGAATTTACGAGTGGGTGTAAGCTGTGGAGCATCGGTATCTTAATCTAAGAAGTTCAACAAAAGAGGCTTTTAGCCAATCGCCCAAATATTTCATAATTTGAACCTCCCTGTGCCCGGCAGCAGTGAGGCTTCATCATCAACAACTCTGGCGACATTGTTACTTGGATTGCAACCTTGACAGCTGTGCTGATTTCCCCTTTCCCATCGACGCTCAATTCAGGAGTCTTGTTGAAGCGGGTGTGGACAGTTTCAGTCAAAGCAGGGCCTTGCCATCCACGCTTTCACCCTCAAGCCAGAAGCTTGAGCCCGCAACTCCGTCGGCGCTGATCCTTGGGGTTCGTTGGGAGCCTATCGGCTTGACAATGACTCTACGGCCCCTTCGCTTGTAGAATAGGGTTCTGCCAAACCCTCTTTCGCTGACTTGTCTGCATGAGGCTCAGTATTGAACCTTGGGCCCCGGAGATAGTTGGCAGCTGAAGCCAGCGTTCACGAGCCAAGGATGACTTCTACCAGGTGCACGAGGAGGCCTGCGGCTCAGGATGGCGACTTCCGGCTTGGGCCTGGCTCTCCATTTAGGGAGTCGGAATTGCACCTTTCGGGTAATGCCGACTTGAAGTGGAAACGACGGAAAGATGTAGAGGTCCAATTTTTCCGTTTGGAGCCCTCGGGTAAAACATTATTTTCTGTTGCTGTCCTTTTCGGCGGGACAACCGGCTTTAGGGTGGAGCTCTTGATGAAAGATCTGCTGATTGCAGCGTCAGGTGTTTGATCCACTGCTAGCATCTCTGATCAAAACTCACTGCTGCACACGCCCCGAACCCAAAAGCCCCGCCCCTATGCTTGAATCCCCCGAATAGAGCTAGCAAGATTAAGTCTTGGTGCTGAGGTCAATGCTGGCGGATCGGCCCAGGTGTTCAGGGCCGTAGAGCTGGCAACCAAGGCCCGCAGGGCTGAGTTCCCGAGCCTAGCCTGGGAAGGGAAACACCTTGCAGCGTCAAGCAGGAAGCCTCCAAACCAGTCTGCACCATGCGAGGCAGTGCGGGCCGTGAAGCGGATTGCCAAGAAGAGCGCTACGCCTGGGTTCAGATTTGAATGTGTGGTCGTGACGTTGAAGGTTGAGGGTAGTCCAAGGTCCAGGCTATGTTTTGTTTAGGGGTTCACCGAAGCCCATCATCCAGTCTTCTCTGAAGTGTCTCGCCGTGGGACTTGGAGCGAGTTCGAAATTGGTTGCTAGGGGTTGCAGTGATCTTCAGCTTTGCTCTTCAGCCGGCCGGGTGGTTGTCTCGGTCCTTTCGGTCTGTGAGGGTCAGCGCCCGGGCTCTCTTTTCACTCCTGGCCTCGGGACCTAGCATCCTGAGGGTGGCAGTCCAGACTTCATAGTGCATCAACCAACCCTACAGACATCCAAGTTTCCGCGAGGTGCCGGAGAGATTGCCCGTGTCATCCAGGAGGTGGCAATCATGAAGACCTTGGACCACCCCAACATCGTCAAGCTTTTCGACCCTCGGAATGAAAGGATAAAAGTCCGAGATATTCAACCGTTGTAAAGCAGCATGGCAGCCCCAAGCTTAAGACGATTGAAGACGCTTGTAGTGCAAGCCACTCTGAAGCTTTAGCGTCCAGTTGACTCTGATGACAATGTAGTTTGAGTTCTAGGCTTTTATAAATTCAGCAGATCGCTCCAAGCCAGAAGTTGGATTGCTCGCAGATGGCGAAAAAACCTGCAAGAAAAAACCAGATTTTTCTGTCGAGACCACGAAGAGAAGGGGTTCGCCGCGCTAAGGAAACATTCGAGGACGACGACTATTTGCGCCCTGGTTGCAGTGCAACCTGTTGGGATGCCTTTGGCAGGTTTTCGCCTGAGTTTAAGCGTGGCTTTCTGGCTCCAGCACTTTCCGGCCTCGCAGGCATTTCCTGACTACCGCGCTGTGTTTTATCTGTGTGGCCCTGGGGCCCTTATCACATCCTCTGTCGGGAAAGGGGCAAGGGCCTGGGGGTTGCAGGTATCTGGTTCTTGAGTACTGCGCCGGCGGTGACGTGCTCGACAACCTGCTCTCTAACGGCATAATGGACGAGTTGGCGTGCGAGGCCCAGGTTCGTCAAGCACTTAGAACATACAAAAAGTAATAGCAGTACATAGAACGAGAACTGTCGCGACGCCCTTTTAAAAGCAAAGCATAGGACATCGTGGTCATGACAACGCTGTTGGGTTGGCCGGTGCTGCTGCTGGTGGCCCAGCTTCATCATCATCGTCGTCATCATCATCATCATCATGATTTTCAGCATGGCCATCATCGCGATTTCGATCGTCTTAGTTCTACTCCTCCTCATCCTCCTCACTCATGATCATATCGTCATCGGCAGTGACCAGGTCATCGCCGTGGTTCATGCCATCACCATCACCATCATCACCACCATCATCATCATCATCATCATCACCATCGTCATCATCACCAGCATCGTCATAGTCATCATCAGCATCATCAGCATCATCAGCGTCATCAGCATCAGCATCGTCAGCATCATCAGCATCCTCCTCATCATCAGGATCATCATCATCATCATCATCATCATCATCTCATGACCATCATCATCACCATCATCATCATCATCACCATCGTCATCATCACCAGCATCGTCATAGTCATCATCACCAGCATCAGCATCATCATCATCAGCATCATCAGCATCGGTCTTTCGAAGGCCCGCAACACCTGAACCTCAAAAACTTATGCTTTGACACTTCTGGCGAAAAGGATTCTCGTACAAACTCTTCGACCCAGGGCCGCCATGGTCATGCGAGGAATGCTTTCCGCGCAGCGGCCTCAGGGGTGCAATCTGTGAAGCTGCGCACAGCACGCGAGCACACAGAGATGACTGCCATTCTTCAGTCCTAAAACAAAGCCGCAAGCCCCAACTCCAAGCCCCAGCCCCGCTAGGATCGTCAGGTTACCGGCCTTGCATTGGAGAATCTGTTTTCAAGCATGTTCGCCTGTTGGGTCCAGTGCTCCGCAGGCTCAACTACCTCAATGCCAACGGCTACGTCCACCGTGACCTCAAGCCTGGTCCCCGGCACACCGGTGTGCTAGACAGAGCCAAGAGGCGAAGCAAAATCCACAAGCTGCCGCAGAAGTCGCCCTATGCCTCAAACTCCCAAGCTGTCCCAGCCTTTGATGTGCACAGTCGTTGTCATCGCCAAGGCCTGAAAACATCATGTACAAGGCCGGCCAGGGAGCATGTCGAAGACGCAGTCCCCATCATCGTTATTAAATGCTGTTACTCGTAGTTGACGTCGTCGGTCCAGGAAGGGAGCCTAATCATGAACAATGTTCTTCCAGCTTTTTGATTGCTGCAGGGAATTTGAGAAATCAAAAAGGAGAATGCTGTTAAAGAAGCAGAAGTGCCGTGGAGCACTCCGCGGGAGGCAGACAGGGCCGAGAGCCTGGTCTCGCAGCTCCGCCTTGTCGACTTTGGCTACTCGTGCAGGGCACCCGATGACACATGGCCGAAGATGATTTTGTGGTTTCAGGGTGTAGGAGTGGGGTAGAGCATGCAGGCTCACAGAAAAGCTGTGAGGGTCGTGTGTGTAGAAGTGGCACATGGCAAAGCTGTTCATAGTTGCTGATTCGTGCTTTTGTCAAGTCTGCTAGCGTGTTGATGCTGAGGACGATCCCTGTGCTTGCATCTCACGAATGCCCAGTGCTGAAACACCGTATCGTACCCTTGGGCTTCCTGGATTACGCTCTTCGGATGGGTCAGGAGGGCAAAGCGCTTAAGACGAAAGTGGGCAGCCCGTATTACGCCGGGCCCCCAAGCTTGGTTCAAGATTGGTGAAGTTCCGGGCTGTCAAGGTGTTTTGATCGACAAAAGTTTCAGGAGTCGAAGTCATCCAGACGGGAGTGGAAGCCTAGTCCACCTTAAGCCCCGAGGTCACATGGGAGTCTGGTCAAGATGTGTGTGCAGTATCGTTGATGTAGACCGGTGCAAAGCAGGAGTTTCTGCGAAAGAGAGGGCAAGACGTCGGCCTCAGTTTCCGTGTGGGCCCGGCGAGGTGGCCCCGGAAGTCCTCTCTGGCAGCTACGGACGCGAGCCCCAGTCTCAGTGTGGGCTCTTCGAGAGTCGTGGGATCTATAGAGGAAGCCATTGACAGAGGTGCGACATCTGGAGCCTTGGAGCGCTGTGCTTCCTGCTGCTGTCTGGAGTCCCTCCCTTTGCAGGGCCACTCAGCATGATACGGGCTCAAAGACAAGGTGTAAGGGTTTGTCATCCTCGTGATTTCCCTATCAGCAGTCCTGAGGCAAGTGCGCATTCTTTGAGAAGCGACGGATTCAGCTTCACCCAAATATAAGACTTTAGATGATATTGTAGCGTGTCCTTCTTTGAAAGCCAGCTGTTTGGATTGTGCAGACGACGGGTTCTGACAAAAGCCTGGACAGAAGGATTCCCGTATTTCGATTTCGTAGCCCCACCAGACGGTTCCCAGCCTGACACACATCCGTGACTAGTGGCATATTGAACATGGTAGACAACTCCAAGATCACCGAAATCATATTGGGTCTTTGAGGAGCAGGCCATGCTTTCTGTGACCAAGCGTGAGAGGATTTGGCACCCTGACCGTCCTGACCCCTGAAGAGAACTCTGTAGCTTTACGTGGTTGCAACCTTTGGCTAGAGCCCTTGAAGTCTCGTCAACCTGCCGAGTTTGGAGAGAGTGATGCGGAAACCTTGCGCTTGGTCAAAGCTGGGAGGCCGTGTAGTGTGCGGTATGGAGTTAAGGATTCGTGTTTGCCTTGAGATGGGCATGATTGAGAATTCGCTGGTTGGAACGGGCACCTTGATAACCACCTCGCCTGACCGGCAGCAACTGCCGCAGCAGAAGTAAGAGGACAAGGAGGAGCATTAGAAACAGCCGCCACGATGAGGAACAACTGTGTAATGCAGGCAAGAAGCATCAGGCGGAGATGGCCTAATAGTAACGAAACTGCCCATTGCTAGCAGAGCAGTGATCCACGTCTGTAGAGGATCTAGCCAGTACTAACAAGTTGGAGCAGGAGCCATAACTTCATTTCCGTCCCATGCTGTTCACTTCAGTGGTATCAGGGCCTTGTTCCGACGAGTGTGGCCTGGCATCTCCTCTTGTCCATCACATCAAATCGTGTCCAGTGCTATGTCGTGTGGTGCGGCAGAATCTTGCACTTGTTGCGTAGTTTTGTCAAGCTTTGGCCGTAGCACATCAGGTTCTAATTCCGCATCAGCTGACATATCTGTATTTGCAATTGATTGTGTCCTGCTGTAGGCTATATCTGTCTCGAAAACGACATTGAAGCTGGGTTTCCCGCAAATAAAATTCGCTCGCGAGACAGTCTTCCCCGTGAAGGTCCATGTCACTCAACCATGCACCATAGACATGCTAGAATTGTTGCCAGAACTCCGGACGATTCTGCACGTGTCAAAACATTGGCGAATCATTTTCTCGGAGAGGTTCGTCTTCCCTTCGAGCCAATGGCACGGAGTCTCCAAAGGTGGGGCAATCTCAAAGATTGAGGGCTTTGGGACGAAGTGCTTCCGGCAGAAAAGATGGCATAGAGAGTAGGTGCTGAGAAAGTGATGAAGCTGGTGATGTTCTGATGGCGATGTTCGTGATGGTACTTTTGGAGATGTGCTGGAGGTACCGGCGGTTGGCGGTATGTTGCTGCTGCTGCTGTTGTTGTTGTTGTTGCTGCTGCTGCTGCTGCTGCTGCTGTTGCATGATGACGACCACGATGGTGCTGTTGTGAGGAGGAGTGCGAGGGTGGGGATCGTGTTTATGCTGTCGCGTTTTCTGTTATTGGTGTGGCGGATGATGTGGATGTTGGATTTGCAATGTTCGAGCAGAAGCATTCACGAATCCTGCCATCCGTTCAGCACGCAGTGAGGGCCTGTCAAATACCGGCAACCTTGCATCGGCAGCCCCCCTGCGGGGTCAGGACTGCAAAGTCAACAGATGGAGACCCCGCATCTCAACTGCTGGCTACGTCGTTTTGTTTTGGGGTAGTGTCGGGGTTCTGTCTCGTTTGCTCTTCTGTAGTGTTTCGGGCAGTTCTTTGCTTTTCAGGCTCGACTTCCGGGCCGCGTCTCCGACTCACCCTCCCACCCCCTCAAGCAAGTAGAGGCTGCAAGCACTTCATCCGACGATGCCTCCAGGCGCGATGGATGCCGAATTAAGCTTAGCTGCCAGTTCCGACGTGAAGATTGCAAGCGTCTGTGCTTTTCACCTGTGGATGCAGCAATGACACAACCAGAACTTGACAGAAGAGCCGGATGTTTTGCTGCTGGTTGTTTTCCAAGGGCACTTTCCACAACATTGGCGGGTTCGTTCCCTGCGCTTGATGTTATCTGTAGCTGGGAGGAGATAGGACGTCCTCCTTTGATTTGAGGCACAGCTCCGCTCCTGCCCAATTGTGAGCCTTCTGCCCGTCTCAATGAAGGTCGAGTTGGACAAGCGGCTCAGCGTGACAGAGGAGTGGTGGGTCAAGTATGACAAGACAGCTGACCCCTCTGTCTCAATCACCTTGAGTGCTCCACACTCACGGGAATTCTTCTATCTCTTCTTTATCATGCTTTAGTGCTGCTGCTGCTGCTGCAGCATGTTGCTGCACCTGTTGCCACTGACATCTTCACGATCATCACCATCACCATCACCATCACCAGCGCCAGCGCCGCCAGCGCCAGCACCAGCACCAGCACCAGCACCAGCACCACCATCACCATCGCCAGCAGCACCATCACCATCGCCAGCAGCGCCATCACCAGCAGCACCATCACCATCACCAGCAGCAGTAGCATCAGCAGCACCACCACCCCCACCACGAGATTGCCAAGAATCAAGAAGGCACAGGAAAAAAGAACGGCCATGTCAAGATCACGAGGGTGCATGCCCACTGAAGAGCTTAACAGTTCTTTGAGCCTCTAAAGCAGCTTTCTGCTGACTTGCCTTTTTCTGTCTACCCTTTCAAAGAAAATCTAGACCAGCGACAAGCTCAAGCTGCACGGACTCCTCGCCGGCCGATGCCTGGCGCCAACTAAGAGCTTCTGTACGGGAACAAGGCGCATCGCAATTGGCATCGCCATCACCATCACCATCACCGTCACCACCACCACCATCATCGTCACCATCATCGCTGTCACTTATCATTAACAACAACGTCATGGTCATCGTCTCTCTACTGCTCCTTGTCCTTGGCATTGTCATCGGCGTTGTCGGACCCGTTATCATGTTTCTGCTTATGGTTTTCTTGCTGTTGTCTCTGCGGTTGGCTTCTACCCAAGCTTGCACCTGGTCTCGGCGTCGGCAATGTACAGATCCTCCAGGCTCAGCTCTTCACATTGTTCATTGGAGTCTGGACACGTCCTTTCGGCTGTGTCAGGCGCTGGATCATCCATGGCTGAAGCACAAATTCCGCGGCAAGGTGCATTATTGAGTCAAGAAGTGCAAGGAGTCAAGAAATGTCAGCCACAAGTGTTCAAGATTTCGTTAATTGCATGTTTCGAGTTATGAGTTCGGAATTGTAGTGCTTCGATTGGTTGGAATTCCGAACTGCTCCCGCGAAAGGAATCTGCACGCTGCATAGCCAGGACGCTAGGGAAACCCACGATCAACAAACCCTGGCATCCTCGGGCCTGAACTCCACCAAGAAGCTCCCGACCTCAGCCCAATTCCCGCAAGACATGCGCACCTATGCACACGAGACCTGCAAAGTGCAGGTCATTCACCTTCGGGACGAGACCGTCGAGCGCCTTGTGTCTTTCTCCCAGTACCACGATCTCCGCAGGCGTGGCTGGCGGAAATCAGCCGGAACCTGCATGAACGTGTTTTGTTGTTTTTTTGGGGTATGTTTTTTGGATGTTCTTCTCTGGTTTCGCATGTAAACAGAGAAAATGGAGGGACAGAACCAAATAGCACAAGCAGGACAGAAAGAACGAACAAAAAAATGATCATACAGAAAAGACAACATAACGCAGGAAAGTCAGAAAGAGGAAAAGAAGGAATCAACGACAGACAAACAGAAACAAATAAGTAACAAAAGACAGAACTATCACCAGAAAACAACTAGCAACGAACGACACACAGAAATAGATCAAGAGCCCTACAATGCCAGAAGGACAGAACGACAGAAAAAAAAGAAAATAAATAAAGTAATGGACAACTACAAAAAATCTTACACCAGAAAGAACTTGAAGCTTACTCTCGACCTCTGACCTGAGCCAGTTTCAACTGAAGCCAGGGAGATCGAGACATGCGATCGAAGGGCGGGTCGGTTTTTGGCGTTGGCTTTAGGAAAGTTTCGGGTGCAGGAGTTTCAGCAACTCAGTAGCAGTCGAGCAGTGACGCGTTAACGTGTACTTCCGGAGCAAGCCTGCGACCCCTAGAAGCTGGACGTTGAGTTGCGTGATCTGAATCCCTCATACACAGCCCTCCATGCACACCCCGCCCAGAGCAGCCATGCTGGCAGTGGCCTTCCACATGGATGCAGCGGCCCCGGATCTTTGTTAGATAAGCAACAACTCGCATGTCAACGATGGCCATCATGGCTATTATAAGCCCAAACTGGAGTAACTAGACATCAGGAATCCAAAGCATTGAAGATCAATTGCTGTTCAAGTCTCTCCAAGCTACAATGGGCCCCAAACGCGAGAACCCTTTGAAGCCAAGCTTCAGCGGTGCAAACTTGCACCCGCGAGCCGCACCGGCCAAGGCCGAGGACCTGCACCAGCTTCGCGAGCTCTTCCGTGGGCATTCCCGACCGATTTTCGCTCAAGTCTTGTACAGGCTTCGGTTCTCGAGCCCCGAAACCAGACCCTGAAGCCACGGCAGATTGGACCTCAATGGCGACGGGCTCTTGACGACCCAGGAGTTCAGCACGGGCGCCCCGACCTCGGAGCTGCTGGAACTCTCCGGGCTTCGGGGCTTCAGTCTGGACCGAGGTTCAATCTTAGGGGTTTCAGGCCCGCGCCTCTTGAAGAGCTCAGGGCTTTGGGTTTGGCTGTAGTCAGGGGTTACGAAGAACTCGAATCCCATTTGCACACCTAAACACGCCGCATCTGGGATTCGACAGCTTCGGCTTCTGGCATGGTGTCTCAACATGGTCTTTGACTTCGCTGGTAGGGAGACTTCACTCTGGTGCGCATTTGCGGGACTTCTTCAGACTGACCAGCTGCACCCGATTGAAACAGAGGCTTCAAGGCTGTTCAGGGAGCCTGACACATGTCTTGCATATTCCCTGCCAGTGGTGAGGTCAGATCCCTCGGTGTCGATGCAGAGCTGCTCGACGAGATGATCCGCTGTGCACCACCCCGAGACATCACAAAGTGGAGCCTCGCATGAACTGCTGCTCTTGCACATCCAACACAGTGCAGGAAACTTCAGTCATGAGCTCATAAGCACCGCCGAAAGACTTCTGCAAGTTGGATGCCGACCACTCTGGCGTCATCGACTACACGGAGTTTCTTGCTGAGAGCCCAGCTTCCTGCTACATTTGCGTTTGACGCTTGCTGGTTTATTCTCACCAGCTGTGATTGGCCCGCATGGGGGCTTCGGTAAATACGCTGGCGTAAACCCGCGGCAGAAGACCTGCTTTCTTCTTCTGTCCTTCCTGTGAGGTAGCTTTAACTGAGGAGGTAGGATGTTACTTCCTGTCATCGAGATCCTTGCGCCGCGGACGCGGGGACCCTGCTTTCATGCGAGGCTGCCACATTGGAGCGGGTGCCTAAGAACAGACATGCAAGATTTTTTGTGTCTGTTCATGGGAAGGACTTGGGGGAGTGTCGTTGCGCTTCATCAGCTTCTTAGTTCTGCAATACCCAACGTTTAAACTTTTTGGGTCCTTGTAATTTGGTAGTGATCTGAAAGGTTAGCCTTCTATTTCCCTGGCTTATTAGGGAAGTAACGCTTAGGCCAGGCTTCTGGGTGCATGGTGAATATTTGTCATTGAGGATCATTGAGGCATGCACAGGAAAAAGGGCCCGGAAAGCTTGCATACTCGGGAGCGACAAGCCCAAGGAAGCCTATGTACATCGACAACCATGCCGTCATGCTTCGTGCATTTCGTCGGTGCCCTGGGAGCGTTGCCTGACATAAGTGAGGGATAGACTTAACATACGCACCTCACTACAATTCCATCCCAAAGCATCAGTGCTACATGAGGCTCTAGACGTAGATCCTAGGTCCGACATCTTTCCCTGCACAGGGCCATGTTGCCGGCAGTGTTGTCGCTGAGAAGTCTCGAATTTTCAATGGCTCTATGCATCGGCTTGGGTGAGAGGCTCAACAGCTTCATCCGTTTCCTAACAAGCTCCGAAACCCTCGAGATCCTGCGCTTCCAGCGCTCTCTGAGCTTTGAAAGTGGCTTTTGAGACCTTCAATAAGTTTCGAGATTTTTCTCAAGATTTCTGGATGGGGCTGTCCGTAGTAGGGGAAAGTGGGGCCAGTCGAGAGCCCAGCCCAGGCAGCTTCGACCAAGACGACAGCGGAGGGCTCACGGCCCAGGAGGCCCGATGGCAGAAATTTCAAAAGTTTGACGGCCGGTATCTCGCCAACAAGCCAACAGTCTTGAAATTTGAGGGCGCAGGCCGTGCAGGGATAGGTACCCGGAAGATGGGATTCGCGTCTTGCTGTGCTGCCGATATGAAGAGTGTTTGCTTGGCTTCGGTGGCACTGTTGCACCTCTCCGCTCGAATCTGTTGGTTTGGATGGAGTCTTGGAGATCGTTGCTGGTGGAAATTGACCGCACGCCAACCCAAGATGTTTTGACCACGGCAAACATGGGAGTATAGTAAATAACATATACGGAAGGATGCAGCTTCAGATGATCAGTGGATGAACCGGTGTTGGGTGCTGACCACCCCCACCCTGAAGAGGTCGCGGAGACCATCGACTTGGAAGAAAGCCTCGAAGAGGTGGAGCGCATCTTTGAAGAGGCGCCGGATATCTGCTTCGGAATATCTGCTTCGGGATGTCGAGTCCAATGGGTGTAGTCCAAGTCACCGTGGTGGAAGACGATGTCAGAATTCAACATGCTGTCTCGTCTGCAACGATGCTTTCTTGTTGTATAAGACTTAGTTTGAATGACTCTTCTTACGCAACGTTCCTCAGCCTCCTAGACCTCATCTGATCTGAACTTCCTCTCGTCGCACATACCAAGAGAAGAGGATCTGCAGTCTCAGGTTACACGACATCACGTTGGCGTTAGGTATAGTGGTCTGCGCACCGAAAGCCACGTCGTGCAGTGCCGCGCAATGCCATGCAGTGCAATGCGCAAATGTTGGGCTCTGCTGTGGGTGATCTTAACAGAGTGTTGGTTGGGATTTGTCCCTTAAGTTGCTGCTTCTATCCTATCGTGAGAAGATTGCCGCGCCACGGGTCCGTAGCGATGCTACCACTGCCTCCATGCTGGTCTCCCTCACAAAACGGCCATCTGCGAGTGCAAGAACATCTTGAGGGCCAGCTGAGAAGCCTCACATCAAGACAGCAGCAACCACACCACGGGCTCAGTTCAATTTCCTGGCCCTCGCTGCAGGTCGACGTGAATCGTGACGGTGCGGACTCTCGGGCTCTCGGGGGCTCGACTCTGGGTTGACAGCTACACGGGTGCCCGATCAAACTTGTATCTCTCTTGCTGGCACTCGAGCATCAATCGTTTATTCGAATCGACCGCTTCTCCAGCTCAGTGGACATCACGGACCCCTCGGTTTCTACAATCCTGCCTCGTCGGCCCCAGCAGTTGACGCTCATTGCTTTTGCTCGAAGTTCTACAACGTCCTTCGCACGTGTTGGCACAAGTTCCGTTCGCAAACCTCTCAGGCGAGGGTTGGGCTTGAGAGTCATTGGACATTCGGAACAATGTCGCAGCTCCAAGAGAGGTGTGGTACGAGAGTGCCTTCATGATTCAAAACCCTGTGCTGGAATGTGCAGCTGTAGGAGAAGGTTACAGGTTACAAGTCCTTCGGAGGGAGGCGTTGTAGGCAAACATCTCGTAGGTGCGCAGGTCATCGCGGGCCAGGTCAAGTCTCAGCTTAAGCTTAGCTTGAACTGGTGCAGCAGCCAGCCGCCAGAACGCATTCGCACTCTACTTAACTCTACTTCATGCATGCTGCTTACTTTATAGGGGCGGTGGCCATGGTGCTCTGCTGACTGCAATCTAGGGCCGAAGCCCGGACATGGCGCCCCGGGTGGGCGAGGCACTTTCGCGGCGCCACTGTTCTTGTATTGGCTTGTGCGTGCTGGGTGTATGGCTGGCGTGGTGGCTGGCAGACTCGGGTGGCCCGGCCGGTAAGGCGGCGCTGGCTTTCAGCCCGGTGTATAGCGCCAAGGTGCTGAAGGCTATGCAGAAGGTCCGTGCCCCCAGGAAGGGGCGGATCCCTGCAAAGCGGACGTTGGATGGCAAGCCGGGTCGGACCATGACTGCTTCCAAGGCAGGGAGAAAAGCTTTCCTGATGAAGAGAATTGGAGACCCAAAGATCAAGGCATCTCAGCAGCATTTTTGGGTTTCACAACTCGTAGAATCGAGGAAAGCAGGGCCACAAAAAAAAAAAAAACAGAGATCAGGTCTCCGAGCTGCAGCAGGTTGCAAAAGAATTACTGGGAATGATCACTGATCACCGGGACTTCAGTATCGCCATCGGCGTGCTCAGCCGGCGTCGGCAGCACGACCTGATGTTCAAAATGATCGACGACATGGACAAGCGACTCGGCCCCAACGTCGTGACCTACAGCGTGGCAATTAAAGGACGGGCACGCAGTTTAGCATTCAGGATTTCAGACCGAGGAAACCTTGCACATGCTCCAAACTCTAATCTTCTGGAACGACGCGAAGCTACAAACTTGAACAACCCGGGGATGGCAGATTTTCAGTTGGAAGACACAAGAAGTGTGCAACACCGCCAACTTGCCTCGAGGACTCTCGGGGTCGGGCCATTGGGCCCTGGGGACGCAGCTGCTGAAGCAGCTGGATGACAGGGCCAAAGGTGGCCCTGATTCGCCCAACGTCATCACCTACAACACCGCCCCTGGCCAAGAGTTGGGCCTGGGGCTCTTGTGGGGATTTGGGGCTTCAGCCGCCGCAAACCGCAATCTTCCAGATTTCAGATACTCGTAGGTGATTCTCGGAGTGAGGTCATTACCGCGCTGGCGAGAGCCAAGCAGTGGGAGGGCGCTCTTGGGGTCCTGGAGGAGCTTACATCGAGGCAGCTGCGGCTTGGGCTGCAGTTTCCTTTTTTTTTTGTGCAGGTTTCATCGCATGTCATCGGAGGGTTTTGGGCTAGGATTGCATTGCATGGTTTTGTAGTTTCGGCTTTTGTGATACGGTGCTTGGCGCTTTACAACCTCGGCAACCTGCAAGAGCAGCCGAGGAATCCCACCGAGTCCACCTACAGTGCAGCCATGACCGCCTGCCGGGGTGCCCAACAGTGGAGGACGGCTCTCGGCCTGATGCTCGGCTGCCACTTGGTTTCCAGCCTGGGTGAAACTGTGGGCGCTTTAGGCTCATGAGACCGGCAATGCCTTCAGGCCGAGTCTTCGGGTCTTTGGGCTTGCAGCTTTGGGGCTTCACGGTGGGATTCAGTTGATTTTGTGAAAGCAACTCGACAGCCGGTAAATTTACCGCAGCAGCACAGCCTTTCAGGTGCGTGAACCCCAGATCCCAAGCCAAGTCTTCAGGAACGAGGACATGCTCAACAGTGGCCTTCGTGGTAATCTGTTGACGTGGACATGCCTTATCCAAGCCCTTCGGCGGCAAACGATGGGAGTCAAGCCCATGATTTTTGATCCCAAGAGCCACGCTTTTGAATCCTTCAGCTTCTGGCAGGCCATGGAATCTGCAGAGCCCGTGCTGGCGGTGCGAAGTTATGGGCGCATGAAGCGGGCAGGCTTTCAGGCGGACGAGCGACCCGCTTCTCTGGAGTTTGGGGCGTTTGGGGCTTCCGGGATCCAGGGGTGCACTTGTTGGAAAGGCTTTAAACTTTAGACTCGATCTCAAGGAGTCTCGAGGGTTGAGGCATGTTCGAGAGTTGGTCAGGGTGAGACGGCTGGATCCTCTCTTTTAGAGTTTTCAGCAGACCGAGGCAAGTTTACGACGCCGTCCTGAGAGCTTGTGCCGCCGGTGGTCTCTGGAAGAGGGCGATTTTCATCATCAACAGCATGATTCAAGCTGGACTGACGCCGAGCCTTGGGCTTGGAACCTGTTTTTTGTCTTTTTAAGCCTCCGATGCTGAATCAGCCATCTCGCCGAGGAGTGCTTCTGCTTACAGCAGCGCCATTGCTGCCTGCAGCAGCGGGGAGGGCAGGCGAAGTATTGACCTGTTCGCCGAGATGCTCAGCAAAGACTTGTCACCTACCCCCGCAGCCTATGTGGGTGTGATGACTGCGTATGAGAAGGAGGGGGACTTCGAAATGGTCCTGAAAACCTTTGAGGACATGAAAGCCCAGCCAGGCTGCCGCCTGACGTACGCAGCCTTCGCCGCAGCCATGCGGGCTCACGCCAGCCTGCAGCAGCCCGAGGACAGCGACACCCAGCGCCGCGGCGCCGCGCGGAAGCTGCTCACGCTCTTCGACCAGATGTCGGCGCGGCACAGGACGCAGCCGGATGCAGAATGTCACAGCTTAGCAGCACAAGCCCATGCCACCTGCTACGAGGCTATTAAGGGAGTGCGAGTGCTGGAGCAGGCCATCAAGAATGAGCTCACTCCAAGTGGACTGGCTTGTCGGAATGTCCTGGACGGCCTTGGAAATAGCCGCGATGGAGAGGCGAGCGAAGACCAGTACAAGATGCTTTACGAAGCTGGCATCCGGGGTTACTTGCCAGATGGCGAGCAATCTGCACTGCTACTGAAGCAGATGACTGAAGCAGGTTATAGCGCTTGCCAGGACATCTACGAACGCATCGTCCGAGAGTCTAACTCGCCCGAGGTCGCCACAGCAACGTACGAGGACCATGTGGACGTTGAGCCCCATAATGCCATTCGATAAGACTCTGAAGCCTTGAACCCCCAAAAGTTTGAAAGCCAGTGAAACCTCCGCTTCCAAATCACGGCAAACAACCCAAACCCCCTTTCGCCATCCACAACCGCAAGCCTCAAGCCGCAGCTGGAGCTAGAAGCTCTGAGCAGGATTTGAAGGTGCTGCAAATGGAGGCGGCGCCTGAGACCGAGGTCGCTGCCATGAGCGCCTTCGTGGACCAGGCTTTTGCGGACGGGTGATTTGTAAAGAGGTTGCACGGCTCTTCCCTTGTGTGCACGCCCGCTCGGTCGGTCAGTGGGCTAGTTGGTTAGTTTGCAAATTAGTTTACCAGTGTGTATATTGCTTACAGTTGTGAGTGCAACTTTTTTCGGGGCAAGGCGCGGTGGTCCGCAGGACTGTTGGCTGAGGGGCTTGAAAGCTCGATCATGCTCGATCTCGAGGGTTGCGACTGTGAGAGCGGACAAGCTCGGAGGTTACCTCGGTTTGGAACTTGAAGGTTTGAAGCAGGGGCTTCGAGTGCTTAGACGTTGGAGACTCCGCGCGTTTGGGCGGCGTGGGTCTCAGGTCTTCGGAGGTCGGTGTTGTGATCGAATCGCACGTATGAAGCCTCGAAGCCTAAAGTCCTAAAGATTCCCCGAGCTGCCTTGGTCGCTCTCTGCTGACCTTCCTTGGCATCCGGTTCAGGATGCTGAAGGAACCTTTGGAGGTTCTGGGTTCCTTGTCATTCTAAGGGGGGATCCTTGAAGAGCTCCTTGGGCCAGGCCACATGGGCCCGAGCACTCGAGATCTTCGAAGAGCTTCGGGAGACTCGGGCTTCAGGGGTTCACGGTTGGCGCTTGTCTGTGCGGAGGTCGTTTGGGTTCGGATCGATGAGTTTAGACGGGTTGTGGGAGGCAGTTGGATTTTTATCTTCGTTCGTTCAGCTTCAGCTCGTGGTTCTGTGGAGACCCGACCTTCAACCCCGGACCAAAGCTGGAATCCAAGAGGGGGACTCTCAGACCCAGGGTCCCTGGACTCCGAACTTTGCAAAACCAAACCCCGGATCATGGCCCGTCAAAGTCTTAAATCTAAATCCCGAGCTGTTCCCGAGCCTTACAGCCTCCGAACAAAAAGCTTTGAATCCGGAGCTCGAAGGATAGTGTGAGCCTGTACGAAGCATAAACTCCCCGTTATGCAGTGGGCATTCATGGAGGTTCGCTACCCTGAGTGAGCACCAAACGACCTCGAAACCGCCAGCCCCAAGCTTTAAACTCCGAGGTCAAGGGCTCCTTGGCGCCCAAGGGTCGATCTTTGGACCTGCTGGATGCAGCCGGCCTGGCAGCGCTCAGGGCCTGTGCGGCGGGTGGGAAGTGCCAGGAGGGTCCTGTGCTCTGCTTATCTTTCTTGGCTTGTCGTTCGTGGTAGCTGTGCAAGTTGGCCGTCGCTGTTGTGGTCATGTCGCCGTCCTGGTCGTCGTAGCCCGTGTTGCCGCTGTTGTTGATGCTAGTGCATCTTTCGCAAATGGTTGAATGTCATTGGGTTTTTGTGAGTGAGTAAGACTGAAAAAGATCTTCGTTTGGCGTGAAATTGTTTCCTTTGTTTGTTTTTTTTTGCATGGTTTTTTGGGTCTTGTGGCTCGACATAAGTTGAATCCCTTGCGGAATAAGTCAGGCGAGCAATTAGGAAACTCTTTTTGCGGAAGGCTGGTTAATCAGCGTGTGCGACCACTCCCGAATCGGCACTAGGGAGAACGAAAGGTGCGTTGTGTCGCGTTAGAGGAGATTTTGCATGAAGCTTGCAGGGGAGTTGTGCGTTGTCATGCAGGAGCTCTTTCTGGGGGTCTCCCGCCAATGGAGACGGCCCCAGGGAGGGGTGAAAACACACCTGGGGACATGGACTCCAGCTGGTGGCCACCTAGATTACAGGCTTCCTAATTGACAGCGAAATGCCGTGAAACCATCCCAGGACGACATCACAGGAACCCACTACAACTGAGGTCGCCGTTATTTCGGCGACAAGCTGTGACATCAAATTAGAACACTCCATTGTGTGTGAGAGTGGCTGTATCGCATGATGAAGATCAGCAGACACATGGTGACGTCAGCAACGGATCCATGAACTGCTGATCTACCCGGAAGCCTGAACTCTGTAGCCCTCATCCTAAAAACGCGTCACGTATGTACGACTGCAGCTTGCAGCAACATGCAGCAAGCCAGCGCGTGTCTTCGATTTTTTCAGGAGGCTCTTAACGTGATCGAGCATCTGCGCTTCCGCGGCCTCGTCTTGAGCCCTGCCCTGTACGAAGCGGCCATTGCCGCCGCCATTGGCGGCTTTCAGCTGGAGACTGCAAAGGATCTGCTCTTCAAAATGAAGGGCGCTGGCTACGAGCCGTCGCCAGCAGTGCTTAAGTCCTGCCAGCTCGAGTCCTACGTCGAGCAGGTGCAAGAGGCCGAGAGGCAGGGTGTGCTGCCGGAGGAGGCGATGCTGGAGAAGGCTATCCGCGAAGCGAAGTCTGACTGCTTTTGAGGGGGTCGGCTTTCAAAACTTGTTTATTTCAACCACGGCTCAACGTGAAACGTTTCCCGTAGCCTTGCCCTCAAAATCTGAAATTTTCAGACCACAACCCAAACCACCACACCTCGATCCGCGGCCTGAAACCTTCAGCCCGATCCCAAATCCGGCGCCTTGAGCCCTTTAAAACTTCAAAACAAACACTTTCTACTCTGATGCCCCAAAATCTCAAATCTTCAACCCCAAACCCAAACGCAAGGAAGGAAGTCGGTGACGTGGAAATGGCACGGGACCTCACCCTGCAGCTCCGGATCGCGAAGACGGGTGTGGACGAGCAGCGCTGGAACCGCCTGAAGTGAAATGTGGAGCTGTTCTCTGGGTGGGCCTCGGGAAGGGAGGATTCGATGGTTTACAGGGTGTTTTTCTACAAGGCATTCGGGGAGTTTCATGTGGTTAAATGTTAGGTTAGATGGCTTACCCCAAAACTTCAATGCAACCCCAAAAACCAAACCAGCTTCCGAAGATCCCCATGCGAAACTAACTGCAGGTAAAGACTTCAACAGCTTGCACACCTTCCACCACACAACAGACATCAAAACTTGCCATCTTTTGAGACAATCCACAATACCCACCGCCACTACCAAACACCTTCTACAGCAATTTCGCCGCTGTTCATATAACTTACAGGAACTGGGTGACACTCATGTTTTATTTGGGAAAAGGGGGTATGCCAGAAAGACAGAAAGCAAGTGGCGGAAGAAAAGAGGGATCCATACCAAGGTTGTCAGGCCTCTAGCTCCAATATAACTCTCGACTCAAGCCATCCGTGCAGAATCAGCTTGTGTGAAACAGCGCCCCACCTTACGTCAACGCAGATGTCATCTTTGACGCAACAGCACACCTAGAGGGCAACGGCGTGAGGCCGGGACTAGGCAAAAGCGCAACCAAAGGGACTAAACCCCGCAAGCCTGTTTGAAGCAACTGTTGCGGGTTCAGACAGTCATAATGCCATCACATAGGCATAGAAGCTTCAGGGTTCATGGTCTTGATTCTGGGCCTTTCGATATTTGGTGAAAGACGCCGTGAAACCGCATTATGCCGGAGTAGAGCATGTTGTACCCCGGAGGCCACCCTGGACCCTAAATCCCGTCAGAAGCCAGCATTCTAAGCCTGCAATCCCAATCGGAACGCCGCGTCAGCTCCGAAGCCGCCCGAGGTGTGATGGACTATGGTGAGTCGGAGCCCCGAGCCACAGCGTCTACTACTTACGGTCCCCCCAAGGCTGCGGGTCCGAAGCCAAGGCCCCAAGGCGCCAAGCCTTTCGCGAGCGCGATGCAACATCCTCAGACGCCTCAAACCCAGGTTCTACAACATGCTGAAGACTGAGAAGGTGCGAACGGCTCGGCCCCGAGCCATTTGCTGAATCTCCGCCGTGGTTTTTCCTTTGTTGTTTCGGGTTTATGGGTTTTCGGTGGAACAACGGGTTAGACAGGAACTGCCTTGCAGCTTGTGCAGTTCCTGGTTTTTGCACTTCGGGTCCAGGTTAGGTTATCGGTGACTGAGCCAGCACGTCATGGTTTCAATGGCCACTGCTTCAGCTAGCTGACTTAGAATGTTGACGACAGACAACGTCGTGAATTCCATGCGGGATGCGTGCAGGGATCAGTACAAGACGCCAGGGATTTGGCCAGCTGCCCTGACCTTTCGATCTCGAAAGCTGAACAGATCCCACTGAGCTCGGACTCCCTGAGCCAAGATCTCTGTGAGGCCGATGCCTTCGGGGCACATGACGTGACTCGGATGTGTGCGGGCTTTAGGTTTTGGGCTGCCGGCTTAGTGAGTCGAGGAGTTGAGACTTTCGACTCCAGGGACTCTTGCTTAAGCGCTTTTCCTTCGGAGCCTCGCCCTGGTAAGGGAACTGCAAGGTCGTTGATCTAGGAGACTCCCGAAACTCCAGCACCCTACTTCAGAATGACCTGGCTGCACGGAAGTTCCTGGACTTCGGGTAGGAGCCTGTCTGGGACGTGGGTTGGCTTTACCGTCCCGATGCAGAAAGCGGTACGAAGAGAGTCTCCGAGGAGAGGTAAGTCCAGATCCCCTATTGTCCATTGTTTCAAAACAAATCAGGGGATTCTTGCTGTGTATTGCAGCATGAACAACAACTCTAGTAGGGTCTGAGGAGTCCTTTCCGCCGTCTGCGCGGTTTTGTGACATATCCAGGCCGAGGGCGCTATGCTCGAAGCGCAGGACGGCTGCTCGTAGCTTGGAGCCTGTGCTTTGGAGAGAGCCAGCTTGGGATCTCGCGCTCCAGCCTTCAACCCCAAGACCAAAGCTTGAATGACGACCTTCGGCCGCAGCACCGAGCTTCCAAACGCGTTCTTGCAGCCGTGAAAGATCTACAAATACAACTAAGAAGAACAGTACATGCCTTAACGCTGCCTTAGATGGCCTGACTACCCTGTTTGCATGCAACAACACAACAGCCACAAGACCAGAGCTAAGCCTCGGAGAGCCCGTCAGCGAGGAATCCGCTGCTGGCAAGGTGGAAATCTCAAGTTGGATTATGTGGGAAGGCGTAAACCACCTAGTGTCTAGGGGTGTGTGTTTTTTCCAGGACAAGGGGCGGGGGTCCGTCAAACGGCGTCTACGGCTACAAGGTGTGGACCAAAACTTTTTGGGTTTGGCCTAATTGCAACAAACTCTGTCAGTACCAGGTGGTCTGAGCACAATGTGGGGGTCGAATCGGTGTGGTCGGATTTGCTGTGAAGCCTTCGTGTTCAGTGTTCAGTATCCTCGTCTAAAGTTTGGGAGCTCGGCTTAAGGCTATGTCATAGCTGTGGCGAACTTTAATGGTTGCTTCTGGGATGTACTATGGGCCTACGAAGTGTCGACCCAGACTCAGACGTCGATACTCTCCGTACGTATGTGTGACAGCTCGAGGAGTTAGGATTTTGACAAATGGTGGTAAAGATGATGGCCCCGACCGTGTAGCCAGAAATCGAGCTTCAGGGGAGGTTTTCACTAGGCAATCTGACGCTCAGGCCGTGAGCTTTGGAGCGGAGGGCGAGGCTGCATCTGAGGAGAGTGACCAGTGGGATCAAGAGGAGCTCTGAGCGGTGTCATCCCTTCCGATCCCTGTTGTGTCTGTCTGTGCTACAGGGGCGGCTTACGCAGATTGCGAACCCGAAACCACAAATCCTTAGCTGCAAACCCCCTGCGGGTGGCCGCCCCGCAAACCTGTCTTGGGGTCAATCGTTGACTCCAGCCCGACCGCCAGGAGTCCGAAGAGGAGCACGAGGAAGAGGATTCGGCCGAAGGCGGCGACGAGGAGAGGGTGTAAAATGATGCCACAGAGGCAATGAGCTCAGTTTTAACGATTTGTTTTTCCGTTCTCGGCTTGACTATGGTTTTTGCTTTCTTACAACGGCAGCATGTGCCATATATGTAGCAACATGCTTGCTTCTTGCACATGATACTAACCTGAAAAGGTCATTATTCGCGACAAGGCATAGATAGGCGCAACTGGCAACACACACACACATCATCACCAGTTGCGGCGGCAGCGACGGCTCGATACCTCAACATCATGGTACGAAGCATGATGAGGTTGATAGAGTAGTTACGCTCATGATGTCGATCACAGTGATGACCAGCATCATCAACTCAACATATTGCGCACACGCAAGCTCCCTCACACTAATGTTCATATTCATAATCAAGTCAAGGCAGCAGTGATCAACAATAGGAGCACCATTATTCGACCATGGTTAGAATCCAGCACAGGAAGAATTAGTGAGTGCATGATGTTCGTGCAGGAGGGCAGTGACGTCAGCGAGGCGAGCAGCAAGGGAAGCCAGGACGGAGGCAAACCCTGGCTGGGCAAAGACAGACTCGTGAGAGGGTTGTGTGGTTTAGAGGCTTGAAGTATTTTGGGTTTGCGGTTCCGGGGTTAAGGGTTTTTGGGGCTGTTTAAGGAGTCTCGTCAAGGGCGACAAGACTCTGCGAATGTAACCCCAAGCCGGTGCAGCGGTAGGCCCGGAGCTCAACCAACCTGAATAAAAAGGTGTTACTGGAACAGGCTGCGTCGCCAATCCGATTCTGCGGGAACTCTACCCGAACAGTTTTTGGCAGCTTTTGGGTTTTGACATCGAATTAGGGGTTCAGGGCTCCTTTGCGCAGGTGACGAGTCTGCCGTGGGACTGGAGGGCCAATCGCTCTTTCCTCAGATTCGGTTCTGTCGATGCCGGTCTCATCCAGGTCCGCAATCTCCGAACTGTACTGCTTCTAAGTTGACGGTGAGGTGCGGATTGTTCCCGAGTTGGGATCCCCAAGTTTCACCGCTGCAACGATGTTGTAGTTGGTGCTTTGTGGTCGTTCTTGTGGTTGCTGGTCTCGTTGCTCCCATTCTCTTCGTGCCGCTTCTTGACCTCGTCTCCTGGTAGAAGCCTTATTTTTTGATGCCGGTGCCCCGCATGTTTCGAGCTTCTCCGAGGCCGAGAGCCGAGAGTCCGGCTGGCTCCGCAGGCTCCAAGGAGGCGGGGAGTCTTGAGGAAAGAGTCCACTGCAGGCCCAGTCTCATGCAGGAAGAGCGGGCTGTGCGCTGTGTTGTCGAGTTTGGGATCTTGCCCAGTTTGCCTTCCAAGATGCATAATATGTGTTTATGTTGAAGATCTTGTGGTCGCCTTTAGTGGCGGTGGTCTCGCCCTGCCGTCTGTCCCCCGCATGGCCGCTTGCCGTTTGATCTTCTCTGCCAGTTCAGGCTTCGCCATTTTCGTTGCAAGTACCTAACATTGCAAGGTTCGTGTCTCAAGCGTTTGCGCTCCCTGTCACTTTCGAGTTTCGGGTTTGAACTCGAATTCTCGGTTTGCACCTCGTCGTCGTCGTCATCTTAATCGTCATCGTCCTCATCCTCGTCGCGGTCGTCACCATTCTTGTCAGCAGTGTAAATGTTGTCTTCGTCCTCATTAGCACGATCATCACCAATATCTTCATCATCGTCCCACGCTTGGTCTCTCATCCTCACCCTCATCCTGACCCTCTTCCTCGTCGTCATCCTGCCGTGGACTTCGAGTTGCAGTCGTCTCTTTGGGGCGGCATCAGAACGTTTGCCCAATCAGGAGACCAAGCTTGACTGAGCGGGATGCACTTGACTGCCAGTAGCTCGTTGTCCGATGTTTCAACGGATTCCTTTCAATTGTACATACAGCAAGCCGGCGCCGCCGGGTAGACTGCTGTCTGCCGATGAATATTCACGACCCAAATGAGTTCCTGAATCCTGAGCTCTGAACCCGCATGTCCTCGAGCCAAAGCATCCCGAGACTGCACGCCCGGCTCGTAAAGTCTTCAAGCACGAAGGCTG